CCCAGAGGGACGTATGGAATAGGGTACGTGCTGACGTTAGTCCTGGTCTGTGATCCGCCACCCCCGTGTTACACGATGGCGCGCGGCAAGACCCTCGTACTGACATCTAGTTCCACAGCAGAAGCATATAGTTACCGTTGCTTTTTATGGATGTTGATAGGAGAACACAATGCAACCCTCTACGGAGTAAGTGAAGGGTGAGATGGCAGGACACACTGCAAAATGTTGTCCACATGTGCGGCATGGTTGTGAGAAGGTTACATATTCAGTGTCACCAGTGTTGTACTGACGACGATTGACTTGGATGCGTTACACGACTACCCTTACATATCCAGGAGGAAATGCATAGCCCACTCATCTCTGGGTCAGGAGTCTTGTCGGTCAATTTTCTGCCGACTTCTCACTCGTCCTGCGCTGACCATCTTCTAAGCCCAAACATGACCGATGTCCTTCCAATCCAATCCGTCACCGTCGTTTTCAGATTCTCATAGCCTAATCGACATGCAGCGGCGCGCCTGCGACTAGCAATGCAACACTATACGGATAACCCGACCCGGCCAGAACAGCGATCTTATGTGTGGCTGAAGGCACCAGGATCCAGGTCCAGAATGATCCGCCGTCAGCTATATGACGCTGAGTTTCCATGACACCCCTCCACATGGTGTGCATCGTTGGGTAGGATGGTCCCGGAATTGGTTGTGCAGGTCAGGTTTTGGTCACGACTTGCTGGCAGTTCGGCGCTGGCATGTGTGCCGATCAACGCAAACTCTCATCTGTTTGACGCCCGTCACAGCGACCATGAAACGGCCCGAAATTTGACCATTATGCACGCCCTGCAGACGACCAGATCCCTCTCTAGCGAACGACTAACTACCGCCAAGTTGCACCGAAGAAGGGGAGACACATCAATTCGACTCCAGCAGTGACATCCGTCTTGACGCATCATTCCCCGCCGAGCCATGCCCGGCCTCGCCTTCACATCTTGGTTGACGTCGGGACGCACAAGTTGCACACCAACATACTCTCCGCATCCTTATTACACCATGTGATTCGTTCCCATTTGTTCGGGACTGGACTGCACCAGCTGCAGATGAACGAGACAAAGCTGCAAAGATGCTACCACCATAATTTTCCTTACGCCGCTCAAGTGGCGGTTTGGTGGCTGCGCTGATAACGTCCACAACAAAAGATCTTGCCGAGACACGTCAACCCGGCCCTCTTGGAGTTGTTTTAAAACGCCGGATAACTGATAACATGCCGGTATTCCTACTCTTCTGCCAGACCTGGTACGTTGGCCATGTTACTATACTTCGACTGTCAACACAAGTAGCCAAGTGCGTACCACTCGGGCTTAGTCACGGCACGGAATGTACTGAGAAGCCAATATTCTGCAACACATGGCCCATGAATGCCAAAGTCGGCCGGTCTCGTACCCACTAATTTGCGCAGGTTGGGTTGAGAATGATTTGGCAAACATACAGCCAGGCCAGGCCATGCAGTGTAAGATGCCCAGATTTACAAAACCACCAGTTGCGGCACACGTCCTCGGCGACCCTCACGATCCAGTCTGGACGTCTTGATTTATTAATATCTCCATTCGTTCAAATCTCAAGAGGAGAGCTAGAACAAAGCCGCAGGATGGGAAGATTATTCTCTGGAATTAGTATTGGTCCCCTACAGGACCAGCCATGCACCTTGGCCTAGCACAGCGCCAGAGCACAAGAACGCCATTCGACTGATAACGTCATGTATGCGCCAATGCGTGCTGCACAGCCTCAAAGGAGACCGGCTGTTGAAAACCTTGCAGGAGGCCAGCCGGGCACGGGCCGAGGACTGCATGGCCGTACCACTACAGGCTCGCGTGGAGTCGGAGCCTGTCCTGGGTATCAGACTGGGAACTTTGCGGCACATTTCAAGCCCGAACCCTGTTCGGCCAGGTCCAATATGTTGATCCAGGAGGAGAACCTTCGGATGGTCTAGTTGACGGTCAGCTTTGATGGAAACTATGCGCGACCGCGTTGTTTTCTGCAGCTTTGATCTTTGAGAGAAGGTGCCCATCGGCAACTCGAAGTCTCAAGCTACCTGATACGGGGAAATTCTCGAGACAGTCGGCCGCCAAGCGGTGATGATGGAGAGCTGGTGCGGGCAGGCAGTGCACGCAGGTATGCGAATCATTCTGTAGCATCTTCTGTCACAGAAGTCTACTTCGTACGTGGATTACTTTTGCGTATTTGTGTTGCGCCAAAGACTTCCAAGAAACGGAGGCACATGTCTTACTATGCCAACTCCCCAGCAGTCCTCTTCCTTTACTCATGAGTCGGCCAGGTTCATTGCTCTTCGCTCTTATCCAAAGGCCCAAAGCGACTTCCGACCACTCTCGGCTGTTTCTTTGTCGCAAGCTACTCAAGTAGTTGGCATTGCGATCGATATTAGAGACGATTCCCGCCACATAGGTCAGACACGGGCCAAAGGGTCATTTGAGAAGGAAACCCAGACAATGGTGGTCCCCTCAATGCTGTTCATGTACTTTGTCCAAAATCTCCCATCCGAGTCCGAATTTGTCGGCATGTTGCTTCAGCAAATTTCGGGCGGCGAAGTCTCTGGATACACCTCGTTCAGAGAGGGGATTTGATGATTATGTGCCTTTGAGCGCCAGACATTTGTCGTTCACATCACATGGCGCTCACTCGCAGGCGTTTCCGCCCCCGGCTCTGATGTCTTATGCCAAAAGCCCTGCATACGAAGGACGTTTGACATGGCCCCCCGCGCAGAATATACCGGAGAGTATCAGGCTCAGGCTCGAGCGTATGTACAAAGTCGCAAATACGGGCTACTTGAACAGGAACAGCCGTTGAACAAATACACCAACACACCCGGGTACGAGGAATCAATGACAGGTACACCAGGGACACGACTGCGCATGGGTCCTCGCACCAGCCTCATATTTCGACCAGACGCATACCATATCAATAGGCGGATTTACGACGACGGACTGGCTACTGTTTCACTCTATTGCCCCCGAGAAATCGGACGAGCCTTGGCCGAGACGCCCGGTTCCAGCCTGACGCAGACGAAAAGTCTGCTGCACCACCGCTTGATGGTGGGAAGAAGAGGAGAAAAGAAAAGCTGTGTCACCGATAGAGAAACCACGGCCTTTACGCCGGGCAAGGACGGGTGTCTGTCCGCCAAGATGGTCAGGGAGGGAACACGTCCTGCTCGACAGGAGTCGCCCAAGTCGGCCTGTTGTTCTCCGGACGCCCCCATCGGTGAGTGGCTCGGTGTCGGATGGTACGGAGAGGGTTGGCGGGGATGGCGACGAGAGGCCAATTCTCCAGGGGCACACGACAGACAATGAGACGATGCAGCAACACCCAACACCCGAGCTGTGTGTGCCCCCCCTCCCTGCTGCAGTCTGCTGTCGCCCGTTGAGCGAGCCACGCTGCCGGGACGAACCGCCCGGAAATCGAGTATGTTGACGACGCCGTGGCCCGTCACAGCCTGGCTTCGTAGTTGGTACGTGCGCGAGCTGGCCGTGAATGTCGGTCCTCCCATGTCGTCTCGAAGGGACGACGAGGTTCGCAAAGCAGGCGTTTGGCAACGGCGTAACGCGCACCAGATTGCTCTTACTTACTGCCCGGACATCTGTCCAGGTCGGCTCTGCCATTCTCGCCTCTCAGGCCACGACTCCATTCACTGCGCATCATGCAGCCGCGCCGGGACATTCAACATAGCCGATAATCCCGGGCGAGCGAAGGGATGCCGAGTGTCTCGTTTCATCACTGCCGGCCTTTTTTTTTTCCCTTCTGCACGGCACATCTGACCGTTTCTTGCTACTGGCTGCTCACTCGCAGGCCCCTGCTGGCATTGTCAACATGCAAGCGCATCAAGGGGCGCCTGCTGCACTTACCTGTGGGCGACCGCGACGGCTGCGGATTGGTCACTTTGCCGCGCATAGCATTGGCCTTCTTCTCCTCGCATGGAATTGCGAGAAACGGACAGTATCATTTGGTTGTTGGGTCGTAGAGAGCGGCGCCAAAGAGACTCGCTTGGAGCTGCGGGTAGCCACGGGCGGGCATTTCCCATGCATGTTGGTTCGACTAGGTGATAATGGAGACCGCAAGGTGTAGTGCTTGGCGGAAACACAATGACGACGAATTTTCCCCTGCAGCATCGGCGGGCCGTCATGGCAGAGGCAGGTGATGCGTACATACAAGGCGCTCTAGTTGTCGCCCTCCCCATCAATGGCACGCACGACACGGCTAGATGGTGGCACTGTTCTCCATTTTCAGATCCATGTACCTAAGTCTACTGTACAAATGCAATAAACGCCCAGCTAGTATCAAACCAAACCTTGTCATACTTCATCCCATCCGAGGCGTGGAAATATCACCACTTAGCCCCGGTTTCGCGACGGCCCCCCCCCCCCCCC